CCTCTTCCTTTGTTTTTGGAGTTTGGAAGTGCCTTGATAAGGCTCAGCTGTGAAGGATGCAAGCTCTGTGGGGCCTTGAGCCTTCTCTTAGAAGTTCTGGGTCTGTCTGACCCGCTGCAGTTAGGTAATTACAGGTTGCAAATGGCCGGGGCATTCATATGCAAAAGCCTCTGCGGCAGCCTGGGTGGGCGGGGTCTCAGGGAATCCGCAGGCGGAGCAAGCGGCTATGGCGGAGCCTCAGCCCTGCCCTAAGGAGACGCGCGCGTCTCAGTGTCCCGGTAGCGGCTGCAAGCGCCTCTGAGGGAAAGCAGCCCCCAAGATCGCCCGCTGCCAGACCGTCCAGTTTTCTCCCCGTATGAGTCTGGGTCCCCAGAGACTTCCCGGAACCGGAGTTCAGAGCAGTCGGGGGCTTGTGACTCCCTCCCAATTCAAAAAGACAGCCACGTCCTCAGTTGCCAGCCCTTGCTGCGTGCGCTTCTGTACCTCTGCTCTTGACTTCCGCACCTCCTCTGAGTCTCAGTGTGCTTTTCTCTTTCCTTCTAGTTGTTGTGCCTGCAACCCAGGAACATGCCCTTGACCAGAATCGAACCTGGGACCTTTCAGTCCACAGGCCGACGCTCTATCCACTGAGCCAAACCGGTTTCAGCTAGTTGTATTTTTGAAGTTGTTGTGGGAGGCAGCAATTTCCGGTGTTTACCTATGACGCCATCTTGGTTTCTCTGATTCTTTCTAATTTCACCAAATTGTCCATGCATGTAGTCCACCTTTTCTACAAGAGCCTTTACTTTTTAAAAAAAATATATTTCTTTATTGATTTCAGAGAGAAAGGGAGAAGGAGAGAGAGACAGAAACATCAATGATGAGAGAGAATCATTGATTGGCTGCCTCCTGCACAACCCCTACTGGGGATCGAGCCCACAACCCAGGCATGTGCCCTTGGCCGGAATCGAACCTGGGAACCTTCAGTCCACAGGCCGACGCTTTATCCACTGAGCCAAGCCGGCCAGGGCTTCTACAAGAGCCTTTAACATATTAATTATATTTATTTTAAAATCCCTGATATTTACAGCATCTGGGAAATGTGATCTCTTGAATCTGGTTCTGTTAATTTCTATATCTCTTGCAGTTGATTCGTTGTTGTTTGGTTTCTTTGTTTTAGCTTTTTTATGTGTCTTGTTGTGGTTTGTTTTTTTTAATCCTCACCTGAGGACATGCATTTCATTGATTTTAGAGAGAGAGGAAGGTAGAAGAAGAGAGGGCAGAGAGAAACATTAATCACTTCTCTCCCACATGCACCCCCAAAAGGAATTGAACCCAAAACCTGGGCATGTCCCTGACTGGGAATCTAACCTATGACCCTTGGGTGCACAGGACGACACTCTGCCCAACTAAGTCACACCACAGGGCCAATTTTATTGATTGATTGATTGGGGTGGGGGAGAGAAACATCAATTTGTTTTCTACTTACTTATGCCTTAATTGGTTGATGAAGGGATCAAACCGACAACATTGGTGTATCACAGTGATGCTCCAACCAACCGAGTACCTGGCCAGGATTGTGTCTTGTAATTTTTGATTGATTGCCATAGTATGTAACATAGAAACTGAGATAAATAATATTTGTGCCTGGAAATGGATACATTTACCCTTCTGTTAGGCCATTACCATGTGAGATTGAGGGGATCTTGTCAGCTGAACTGGATTTGAATTTTGTTGTTATGATAACCTTTCTTCACCGCTGGTTTTAAATTTCTTTGGTGTCACCTTGTGTTTAGAGTAAGAGTTGATTTTCCAGAGGATTTTTCTCAGTAGCTCTGCACCCTTCAGCTGTAATATTTCCCTTTGAGCCGGTGCCTAGAGAGGATCTCCCCATGCTCTTGTGCCTTCTCCAGAATTAGACTGCTGTTGCTTGCCACTTGGTGCTGCTACTCTGAAGGGGAGGGGGAGTATTCTCTGTTGTCTTCATTCAGTCTCACTCTTAGGCAGAACTGTACCACTAGCTCTCAGGCTCAGCCTTTCTCAGTGATCATGGTCCTTCCCCAGGGGAGTAGAGGGGTTTTTTTGGCGGGGGGTGTTCTTTTACCCTTCTCCAAACCCCATGAGTTTTTACCTGTCTGTATCTTAAGAGTGACCGGGTTTATTACCCTTCCCCCTGACCCCTTAAGGGTTTTATTCCTTAAAGCAGTGGTTTTCAACCTTCCTAATGCCGCGACCCTTTAATACAATTCCTCATGTTGTGGTGACCCCCAATTTCATTGTTACACGTTGAACATAATTAAAGCATAGTGATTAATCACAAAAACAATATGTAATAATATATGTTTCCCAATGGTCTTAGGCGACCCCCAAAGAGGTCTCAACCTCTAAGGTTGAGAACCTCTGCCTTAGAGGAAAAGTGATCAGGTGAAGCTTTATGCCTTTCCTGAAGCAGGAGAGCGCCCCTCCTGCAGGCATGCACCAGCAGGAAAGGCTTTCTCCAGTCTCCTGCCCTGTTCCCCGTCTTTCCTGTGAGCACCCAGGGAGGTCTGTGGAAACTTCCTGATGTCTGTAGCTCTCAGGGATCCTGTACTCTCAGGCTAGCCCACACTCTGCTTATAGCAATTTGATAATAATTTTATCTCAATTCCTATCTGCTGTATGAAGGACTTGCCTTCCTCCTGTTGCCACTGTTAAGCCAGTGCTTATGTCTCATCTCCCCACAGAGATTCCTGTTTTTCTATGAAGTTTAGGCTAATTGGTTGCCCTGTGACCTCAGTTTTCTAATGAATTGAAGTTATGATTTGGTTTATTATCTAGCCTTTTTTCTTATTATTTAAGGTGAAGGTGACACTTTCTAGTTTTCTGTATTTTAGGCCTTGACCTGAATCTTAAATGGCAAATAGGTGTTGGCATGATAAGAAAGGGTGGGAGAGACATTTTGGGGAGGGGAAGGTTGTTTCAGCAAGACAGTGGGAACAAAATTATATGATAGCTTCATTTACAAACAGCTTGGTTTGGTTCAGATTAACATTGTAAGTGAAAGCTGGAATGATGGACTAGAGGGCCTGAATGCCTAGTGAAGGTATTAAATCGTATTATGAAAGCACTGAAATAACCATAAATTTATAGCTTTGGTGAGTATTTGCCACCAATCCTCTTTCCTTTGAGTTAATAAGGTATGTGCTAAATGACTTCCAAAAGGATTGTGATGCTCTTAAATCTGTAGTAGTACCCAACTTGCATGTGGAAGAAGGCTGATGAGTATCTAATCTGCCCATGTATTTTGTTTCCAGTCAAGCAGCATTGGTGCTGCAAGTAGTCCTGAGGACTGGGAGAAAGTTTGGGACAACTGGAGGCTACTAACAATGGCCGGGATCTTTGACTGCTGGGAGCCACCACAGGGAGGAGACTGCCTGTATTCCTACACCATCATCACAGTGGATTCCTGCAAAGGCTTGAATGACATCCACCATAGGCAAGTCATACTTCTTATCCCTGGGTCCAGAAGGATACCAGGGAGGGTGTGTTCTCTTTGTTTTTAGGTAGGTAGCTTTTCAAATTTAAAGTTTCTGTATGCACACATTAATTTATTCACTTAATTACTTTTTACATGCTGTGGTCCCCCAGGTCCTCATTCTTTTTTTCTTTTTTTAATATAATTTTATTGATTTCAGAGAGGAAGGGAGAGAGAAATAGAAATATCAATGATGAGAGAATCATTGATCAGTTGCTTTCTGCACACCCTGCACTGGGGATCAAGCCCACAACCGGGGTGTGTGCCCTGACTGGGAATCGAACTGTGATGGCCTGGTCGATACTCAACCACTGAGCGGTGCCGGCCTGGCTGTGTGCACACATTTAGACAGTAGGAAACTAGGACAGCTGCTTACAGAATGCAGTTACAGTCAGTTTGGCTATAACATGACATGCCATAAAAATCGCCATAGTATGCAAAATTGTATAATGAAAATGACACTTTATGGGAAAGGGGTTAAGAGGACTACACTTAAAAACTTTGTCACTGACACATTAAAAAATAGAAATCTATTAAAAATTACCACAGTTTTATGTATTAGGTGATTAGAAAATACAAGTTACTACAATAAATACAGTACTTTACCTTAAAAAGACCCATAGTTTGCTTGTGGGAGTGTATGTTGGAGGAGTTGCAACTTATGAGATATTGTGAAGTGGATATTTATGCATTTATCTCCTAAAATCAACTATACCACCCACCCATGAAGTGTGTGCCATGCTTTGCGTTGGCCTAGCCCAGAGGTCGGCAAACTCATTAGTCAGCAGAGCCAAATACCAACAGGAAAATGATTGAAATTTCTTTTGAGAGCCAAATTTTTTAAACTTAAACTATATAAGTAGGAACATTGTTATTAACATGATTAGGGTACTCCTAAGCTGGCCTTTGCTAAAAACGTCCTCAATCTGATTGAGGTATGTTCGCTGAGGTCGACTCCTTACAACTCTCCCATCCACACTCGTCTTGTGTACTTGTTTCAGATAGACGAGTGTGGGTGGGAGAGTTGGAAGGGGTCAACCTCAGCGAACATACCTCAAAACAATGTACCTCCCCCAAGCTGCGTATCCCTCAGCCCGCCTGCGCCGCCCGAACGACACCCCCCACTTCTTCTAACGCCACTTCTTCAAATAGACTCACCAGGCCGAAAACCAACTTCTGCACATGGGCCATGAAATTTCCATCGCACTGTACATGATATAAACAACAGTTAGCTTTTACAGCAATGCTCGGCAAACTGCGGTTCTGGCCCCTTGAGTGTGACTCTTCCACAAAATACCACGTGCAGACGAGCACGTACAGTGCGATTGAAACTTCGTGGCTCATGCACAGAAGTCGGTATTTTGTGTTAGAGCCACACTCAAGGGGCCAAAGAGCTGCGTGTGGCTCACGAGCCACAGTTTGCTGACCACTGGATAGGTCTTTCTTACTGTAAATCTGTCATAGGTTGTAAGACTGGAGATTATTGTTGATAGACAAGTTTTTCAGGATCTGTTTCTCCTTTAATCGTAGGCTGGGGCATCATAGAAAAGTCACCAATTTGCTAATGTGTACACTGCAGTGCACTGGGTCCAGTCATCATTACTGTTCCCTGTCGTTGCCATAAAACTTTATAAGCTGGCTCTCCTAGTGTTGAATTTCATGCTCTGTCAGGTTGTGGTCAAGGAGCACGTGGCAACCATCAGCATGTGAGGCACAGAGGGAGGGCGAGCTTCTCCTTGGGATGATTTGTGCTCTCAACTAACTCAAGTCTCACTCCCTACCTTCACTTTGTCCCTTCTAACCAATGTTTTCACCTCACTGGCTAGGATGCCTGCCATATTAGATGGAGAGGAGGCAGTCTCTAAATGGCTTGATTTTGGTGAGGTCTCAACTCAGGAAGCTCTGACGTTAATCCAGACCTCAGAAAACATCACCTTCCATCCAGTCTCTACCGTGGTGAACAACTCCCGAAACAACACTCCTGAGTGTCTGGCTCCTGTTGGCTTAGAGGTCAAAAAGGTAGGGGTCTGTGACTCTGACAGTCTTTTTTAAGCTTTCTGTCTTATGTCAGTTTAGCATTTTCTTTTAGGATATGGCCTTTTACAATCAGGGCCACCACTCAAAACTCACATTCCTTATCCATGTCCAGGGGGAGCAGAGCAGTGATTCAAAGCTGGCTATAATTCAGAGTCCTCAGGAGAGCTCTTTCAAACGTAAATGCTAGACCCTGTGTAGACCTACTGACTCAGTCACTATTCAGGACTGAGCTTGGATTTCTTTATCATTAAGAAGCTCTTTGGTAATAAGTTTGAGGGCTTCAACTCTAGAGGATGATTGTGAGAAAGAAAAAAGAGCCCTTGACCGTAATTGTATCTCTGTCCATAATTAACTGTGGGTTTGTTTTTTTTTATCTTTTCACTTTATCTCTGCTTTCCCAACCACAAGTTGGAGGAGTTCCAATCTTTGTTCCCCTTCAGGACTATTTGAGAACACTCTGGCTATAAACATTAACTTCTTAGAGTTGGTAACGATTCTGTAGATGTATTTTGAAGGGAAATTGAACAAACAAATGGCCTGCAGTGGGAAAAGGAGCTCAGAGCAAAAAGCTGGCCCTACTGTTTTTAGGTGCATAGAGGGATCTGAATCTTAAGGACGACGATTGCAAGAGCACCCCCATTTTTCCTTTTTTTTTTAAAGTTTTCCATATCCATAGTCAGTGTCATCTTTTTTTCTTTTGTCTCGTTTATCTGCAAACTCATGCAACCCCAATTAGATGTCTATAAAAGCGAATCATTTTGCACTAGACACTGCCCCATTTCTGCCCTGGTCTTTACACCAAAAGCATTCACATTTTGGTGAGGTAGCATTGTTGAATTCAGAACCTTCAGTGTGGGTTGGGGTGCAGTTAAGGGAAGCAGAAGAGCAGTGCTGGGCAAGCAGAGGCTGTGCAGAGAAGTTACATGGAGGGAAACAGCCTGTTCAGGCTTAGGCCGAATCCTTAATCTTAGAGGCTATTTAAGCCCTGTCTCCCCAACTTCATCTCCCAACTCTGCAGGTCCCAGTAAATTACATTGTTTTCCCTGAGAATGCTTCATTCTCTGCATGTTTGAATACCTGTCAGTGCTCTTCTGTGTGTGGCCACACATACCTCCATCAAGCCTTCTCTAAGAGTTACTCCCTACCCCCTATACCCTTGGAGTACACTCACTTGCTCCTTTCTTCCCACTACTGACTAGTGGGTCCTATCTGGCCCTTAGTAACAATGTATAAGTCTGAGTCAGTACCTCATGCCTCTTCCCCTATTTCTTCCCTTGGAGTCGTCCTTTTCCCAAAAGCTTGAGCTAAATGTTTTTTCATCTTTTTCCTAGGAGTTCAAGGCAAGTGGCAGCAGCCAGATGATGTTGCAGTGGCTGGCCACAAAGTCACCCAAAAAGGAAGACCCCAAAACACCCCAAAAGGCAGAGCCAGATGTGCCCCAGTGGTCCAGCCAGTTCCTGCGGAAGAGCCCGTTCCCCACCAAGAGAGGAGGTGCAGGATGTCTGGAGCGATGGCTGAAACAGGAGAAGGAGGAAGAGCCAGTGGCCAAGCGACCTCACAACCAGTAATGCAGGACTTTGAGAGACCAAGGTCATGGTTTGCTGTACTAAATACTGTTGCTGATAACAGATTCTTTCATTGTGTGTATATGGATTTGCTTTGGGAGGAGGTAGCACAGTGTTAGTTAACAGCTGTGGGTTCATAGGGGAGTGGCTAACCTGGCTGGGACCAAGAACACACAGAGGGGATATGGGAGCCTGGAAGGGGAGCGCCCACCTCCATCACCTCATAGGGGTTCACTATGCCTGCAGCCCTATCTTGGTAGGACTGATGGAGCCTTCCTCAAAGCCTGATCCTGCTGGCAGTTCTCAGCACCTGACCCGGTGCTGCTTAGCCTTTGGGCTCTTTCAGTCTTTTGGAATTAAGTTCTTAACACATTATTTTTTTCTGAATAAATTAAATTTTATAAACTGTCTGCATTTCAAAAAATGCTATTGGTGGGGGTAGTTCTGGGACTGCTTTTTTGGAAACAAACAAAAAAGGCTTGGTGGCAGGGTTCTTTATTGAGTCTCTCAATAAAGTTATTGGAAGTTGTCTGAGTCTTTTAAAATATCTTTATTATTGAAAGTACTAGTTGTCTGAATCCTTTAGCTTAAAACCAACCTGACTGCCTACCAAACACAAGGGACTGGGGGGAGAATGAGGTACAGGAGACAAGACCCTGCCTTACACAGGGAGCAGAGAGTCTGGGTGAGGAGACATCCTAGTCAGCCCTCCAAGTCCTATGCAGATCCCCAGCCTCTGGGTAGAGCAGAGCACAGAGGGATGACTTGGGCTTGGGGTGAAGGTTGGGAGCTGACCACCTGCCTGCCCTGGCCTGGTCAGAGCCCCTGTGATGATTAGCTCAGCAGGCTCTTCCTTGGCACTGAACTGCTTTATAGTTAGATATTAATTTGGGGTAGTTATCTGTTGTCCCTCTAGCCCAGCCATGGGCAAACTACAGCCCACGGGCCGGATCCGGCCTGTTTGAAATGAATAAAACTATTGAAATAAAAGACCGTACCCTTTTATGTAATGATGTTTACTTTGAATTTATATTAGTTCACACAAACACTCCATCCATGCTTTTGTTCCGGCCCTCCGGTCCAGTTTAAGAACCCATTGTGGCCCTCGAGTCAAAAAGTTTGCCCACCCCTGCTCTAGCCAAATTATTCCATGAAAGCAGGGACCTCTTTTTCACTCTTTTATTTTCCCAAAGTTAACGGTAGGAGTGCAAATATTTGTTAGGTGAATGTGAGCACTTACTACATGCCCTGTCCTGTGCTAGGCAAGGAGCCACAAGCATTAACCAGATGCCACACCTGGCAATTAAGCACTTGGGTGTGCGTGCACGTGCCCCCCCTCCCCTCCTTATGGCTCTGGTGTGCCAGGAGAGGCCCTTCCCAGAGATCCTGAGGAAGAACCAGTGACTCTCCAGAAGCACCAAGGCTCTTTGGGGTGTCCAGGAGACAAGGACCCACAAAATACTGTCCCAGTGGCTGTATGAAAGGAAGCAGGCCCTGAGCAGACTGGAGGATGGGCTGCCCTACCACCACCACCACCACCACGACGACTACAGGACCGCTGATGGGGCGCTGGCCCAGGCCCCTTGCAAATCAGGGATTGAGAGCTTTACCGGTTAGAGGGCAGCTTTGGCACCTCTTCTTGGCAGGGGTGATGGGAGAGTGGTCTATGACTCCAACCCTTGCGGTGACTTCCACCCCCTCTACCTTGTCTCTAAGTTTATCTTTAGATCACCATTCCAGTTGAGAAGGCACGATTGGCCAGTGGTGGTGAGTACTCAGAACCCTTCACTGAGGCCAGGAGTGCTTTACTGTGGCCTCCAGTTTTGAGTTGCTTTGCATGGAATTTTGGCGATTTTATTGAGACTTAAGAAAAATACACATAACTAACCTTGCCAGTGTAGCTCAGTTGGTTGGGCATTGTCTCATATACCAAAAGCTTGCTGGTTTGATTCCTGGCCAGGGCACATGCCTGTGTTGCAGGTTGGATCCCCAGTAGGGGGCATGCAAGAGGCAGCAGATAGATGTTTTGTTCTCACATTGATGCTTCTCTCTCTCCCTCTCCCTCTCTCTCAAAATCAATTAAAAATCTTAAAAAACAAAACAAAAACAAAAACCAGAAGGTTGGCTGTTATCTCTTTTGCCTCGGGTTTAGTAAGCAACAAAAATGAAATTCCCCCTGCCCTAACTGGTTTGGCTCAGTGGACAGAGCATTGGCCTGCGGACTCAAGGGTCCCAGGTTCGATTCTGGTCAAGGACATGTACCTTGGTTGCGGACACATACCCAGTAGGGAGTGTGCAGGAGGCAGATGATTGATGTTTCTAACTCTATTCCTCTCCTTTACTCTCTGTAAAAAAATTCAGTAAAATGTATTTTTTTAAAAAATGAAATTCCCTTTATTTTTCATTACTATCTCCCCACTGTCAGGGTTGTAAATCAGTTTGGTAGGGCTTTTTCCTTTATTTTTTATTTTTTTTAAGAGAGCAAGAGAGATCAATTTGTTGCATTCATTAGTATATATATATATATATATATATACACA